AGGGTCCCCAGCGGGTGCCGGCGGCAGCAGACGCAGTGCAGGAAGTCAGCAACGTTGTGCTGGAAGAGCTGGCGGCAGGGGTGCAGGTACTGGAAGAAGAGGAGCATGAAATAGATGCCCAGGCAGTAGCCAAGAAGCAGCTGCACCACCAGCAGTGGGGTGCAGATGTTCTCGTAGACGTCTGTCTTGAAGAAGTACCAGAGGATGACGAGGGCTGTGTTTTCCGCCAGCCGGGCCACGTAGTACACGGCCAGGCGGCCCCAGTTCTGTGACTTGTCGATGAGGTCCCGGTCGGCCAGCTTGAGCTGCACGGCCGACCAGCAGAACATGTTGATGCTGGCGTAGAGGAGGGTGAAGGAACAGAGCACCACCACCGTGCCCACCCGGCTGAAGTTCTTCTCAATGTTGTCGGGCAGGCAGGTGCCACTCCGCCAGAACTGCACCCAGGGCAAGAAGAAGACAACCAGCAGGTTGGCCAGGGCGATGGGGATGATCCAGTGCTTGAACACAGTGCTGAAGAGCACAAGAACAGCCACGCGGGTGGAGATCTCCAGGCTGCGCCATAGCACAATGCAGAGGAAGGCCAGCGGCCGCAGCTGGACCTTGTAGTCATCGTACTTGACCTGGATGGCCAGGATGTTGCAGACGAGCGCTCCGTAGGTGACTGACACCAGGCAGATGCCCATGAGGACAGCTGCAGAGAAGGAGAGGGTAAGAGAGTCAGGCAGTGCCAGGATCTGGGCTGTGTGCCCGGCCTCTCTGCTGCCCTGGGTGCAAAGCGTGGGGTGCCAACCCTGGGTGCAAAGGGCAGGGTGCCAACAAGTACCAGGGCTTGCAGCAGGAGGCTCAGTGTGAGCTGCAGGCAGCAGGAGGCTCTGCTCCCAGATTTTCTTTCTACACTAATAAACCAGAGGCCTTTGCCAAACTGGGGCCGTTCCTGTGCTTGAACCAGGCACCAACCCTCCTGCCTTGTGCAAGAAGTGCTGCTCAAGGAGGAGTGGGGCATGGTCTGTGCTGCGAGCATCCCTCTGTCCTCACTTGGGCCAAGAGTCACACCCCCGTAGCCCACCATTCCCCCTGGGGCTGCCCTCAACTGGGGGCTGCAAAGCCAAGGTCATTTGTAGGGAACGCCGGCGGCTGCTTGCATTCAGTACAGCCTGGAAAACCGCAACGCAGAAAAAGGGAAGTGTGTGCCTGGTCCCAGTTGGATTGTACTGGTGGTGGTGGCTGCGAGCTGCGGGGCTGCGCTGAGACACCCGAGCTGCGAGGGAATCACCCGAAATGTGTCAACCGGGATTCGCTTCCCGCATCTGCTGGTGGAGGAGCGCTGGGCTCATCCTCCTGCCTCCGCTGCTCCTACTGCCCAAAACGCCCTGGCAGGGGGCTATGGCCAAGGAGGGGGTTTCTATGGGGCATCTCCTGTGTTCCCCTTGCCATGTGCCTGCTGTGGGCACAGAGGGCAAGGTCTGGGCTCCCAGCACGGCCGGGAGAGCAGGTCGGCGAGGGCAGCTCCTTCCCCGGGCACTACAATCAGAAAGGTGCAAGAACAGACCTGCGCGCTCAGCTGAAGTGGGATTTAAAAGCCTGTTCCAGCACACCCAGCCTCCAAGCACATAAACACCCCGGGAGCAGGCGAGGGAGCCTGGGAGCGCTGGGCTGGGAGCTCTGGCCGTTGAGAAAGGCTCAGAAATAGATCTGAGCGAGGGAGCATAGGGAAGCCAGAGCCTGTAGCTAGCTGGAAAAAACCAGTAACTCATGCAGACTGGAGCCGGTTGGGGCAGAGGCATGGCATCTTTATGGGACAGGGCACCAGGTGGATGGCACAGCTCCATCGGACAGATGTCTGCAAGCACCGGGGCTGGGAGCAGAGCCTGGCACTTCGGTCACAGTCAGCTCTTGCCACCCTCCCCAGCTTCACTCCAAGCTGGAAAGCAGAGCACCGGGCATGGGAAAAGCAAACCAGGGGATGGACGAGTACTCAACCTCCGCAGGTTGTGCTCTTTGTTTAGGGGAGTCCAGTGGCAGCCATGCCCCCAGCAACCCCCCAGAGTTTTGTTTGGGTGCCACACCGGCACATGCAGCTCAGGAGGCAGGGTCCCACCTGCACGGCGCCGGGGGAGCCAGGCACCCTTACCTCGGGCTGCGGGGACGTACTTCTCCAGGACGCTGATGTAGAGCTGGAGGGTGAGCTGCGGGGTGGAGCCCAGGAAGGCCTGGATGACCGCCATGCGCTTGAAGGCATTGCGGTGCGTGGCCAGCCGGCGCACCGAGTGGCCTACCTCCTGCTCCATCTCCACCTCGTAGCCTTTCCGCAGCCGCCGCTTGCGGGTGATGGTGACATAGGGCTCCTCTTCCTTCCCCGACCAGCAGTAGACAAGCAGGGCCTCCATACACCTG